CGTGGTGGGTCCATCTATGTAAATCGTGTCAGAACACTCCTATCGGTGTGTGTCCCAGACATTATCTCGTAAGTCTGCCCATTTCTCAGTTCTTTCCCCCACTGTGGGCAATGAACCAATTCGAGGACGTGTGTTTAATTTGTTGCAGGTGGTCATGGTGATCTCCTGCTATTAGTTGGCGTCCTCTATATTTAGGGGACTCCTTAATCTTTTGTCGCCATACATGAACTTCATTCTCTGTAATCTTTTGTTTGATGTAAGCATGAGATCTAATCGCTGGTTGTGTGAGTTCAGATCCTTCTTTGGCGAGGGCATTGACTCGCTCGTTTAGAGGCACATTAACATGGCTGGGACACTACGACATGTGTATGGTTTGTTCTGGGTATTCCTCCAGCCAACGCCTTATGTGTTGGCTGACCAGGAGGGAGCAATTTTGTGAGGGACCAATCCTAGGGTTAAGGATGCGTTGTAGCGCTCCTTTATTGTCTGCGAACAGGTATAGTAATTTGTGTTTGCCTGATGCATTGCAGGCCGTGTTAATGCCCATCCAAAGGGCTTGCATTTCCGCATCAAAAGGTGTGACTTGGCCGCATCCGATCTTTTTCTCAATGGTTTTCCGGCCGCCTCCTTCAAGGGTGTACGTGACTGAGCAGGCTGCCCCAGTGATGACCTTCTCAGGTTTGTTTTCTTCGTGTTTTTTACGTTGTGACCCGTCAGTAAATACTGCCCGGCTTCCGTAATCAGTGGTGGCTAGTTTTATGACGGGATTCGCCGCCTGCTGTTCGGCGATCGCGATTCGCGTTGTGGTAGTGTCTCTCGGGGGTTGCGCTCCGGCGCCGTGCCGTCGTGTTTCGCGCAGGTGACGGCCGTTAACTTTAGAACCAACGGATGCTCTCTGTTCCATTGCACTTCTATTGCTTTTTGCTACAAGCGCCGCTATTTGGTGGTCGCCGGCTCGGACGTGCATGTCAACATCTCTTCTCGCCCGTGTGAATGCAAAACTAGCACGTCATTCGCAGGTGCCGACGACTGCTGGCTTCTTTCGGCACCAGGTACTGTGCGTCTCTGACTTTTTCTAGACCCTTCGTAAGCTTGTGTGAGGGAGCGACAAATTGGACCGTTCAGGCACCAATGTTTCAGAAATTTGTACCCCGCAATAAGATACATATAACATCACTGCTGCGGTCTACGTCAGCTTCTGCGCCCGGTAAAGTGAGTGAGATGCGGCAGAAGCACGTTCGTCCTCGGGGCTTCAGGCTGAGCGTACGCGCTCATCAATGTATCCTCATCATCTTCCAATCTCGCATCTTTTTGCTATTCGCTGGCCCGAGAGCAGCTTCCCGTAGGTACGACAGCGATGCTTTCTCCTCTCGACCGCCATGTCCGTCGAGTCCCATGCCGAGTCGATCGCTTTCGAAGAGAAAGCTGCTCTTCTCCAGCCGGAGACCCACGTTGTACGCGACAACGACCATGACCGTCCGCGCCGCAAGCTGCCCTATATTGCACTCGGAGCACTGCTCTTCATGCTTACCCTCGGACTCGGACTAGGCCTCGCACTTTGGCTTAGGCACACTCGCGGCTCCACTCCGACCAGCCCAAACGTGCTGCAGCGCACGCCATACGAGAACTTCGTGCTCAACGGTCTCAAGGGACAACCTTCGCAGACGCGCTCCTACGACTTTGTGGTCTCGCAGGTCCAAGGTGCGCCAGATGGCGTGGACAAGCCCATGCTCGTCGTGAACGGCATGTACCCCGGCCCGACGATCGAAGCCAACCAGGGCGACCGCATCGTAGTGAAGGTCACGAACATGCTCGAGAACCGGACGACGATACACTGGCACGGTCTGGTGCGTTGCTTCTGTTGTGTGTATGCACCTACATGGACTCATGAGGCTGCGCGCCGGAGTGTAGTTTCAAAATGGGACGAACTACTACGACGGGACGGCTGCGATTACGGAGTGTGGGATACCGCCAGGGCAGAGTTTGGTGTACAAGTGCGTCTAGATTCACATTGAGAATGGTGTGTTTGCTAAATGTATGCGCCAGCTTCACCCTTGGGGAATTCTCTGGAAGCAGCTGGTGGCAGTACGTTCCCGCCTCATTCTGTCTGTACCGTCGTCTCTGAAGCTCTACTCCGACACTGCAGTGCTCGTACGTCGACGCGCTCCTTGGCAACGTATCCCGCGCTGACTCCATAGCTTTTCTACTCGCTACATAGACTGTATGTCACTTCTCCGCTCTCCGCTCAACGTGCCTCCGCTGACCTCGGACACCAGACTCAACCCAGTACACAGACGGCATCACTGGCGCGCTGGTTGTGCACCCTTCCGAGCCCGCGCCGGCGTCCATCCCGGCATGGGAAGAAGAGCTCGTCGTCCAGGTCGCGGACCTGTATCATACGTTTAGCTGGCTGCTGCTCGAGCGGTACATCTCGGTGAGCCTCTTGCTGGAATGCGTCATGATTCTTAAATGTACCGGACCTTGCTCCGGTTCGCGCTTGACAAAAAGATGGAGCTTATGCGCGGAACACTTAGACGTCTGTGGTCTAGACCTGGTAGATTCTCCGAGCTGGATCTAAGCTCTTAGGCCCTTGCTATGTGCCTGGCGTGTGTGATGACGTACCTGTTGCTGAACTTCCGCTCTGATAGCCCTGGGGAATCGATGGCACCCCTGGCGATGAACCTGTCCCTGATGCTGGCGTAAGTGCATCTTGTCTTTCGAATGATTGAAGCTAATCGCCTTACATATAGACACTCAATGGTCTGGGCCAATGGGCTGGTAACGGAGACTACTTCAATGTACGTATGCTGCTTCGGATATGAGACTACCCGTTGCCTAATTGTCGCCCTACAGTTCACTCTCGAGCCAAATAAGGCTTACCGCCTCCGCATCGCGAACACTGGCTCCTTTGCGTCGATTCGGTTCAGCGTCGATTACCACACCCTCAGCGTCATTGAGGTCGACGGCACACTGGTCGAACCGTATGACGTCACTGGGATCACTGTTGCCGTTGCTCAGAGGTACAGCGTGTTGCTAAGGACGGATAACAGCACTGGCGGGCCATTCTGGATGCGCGCGACACTGCAGAAAAGGATGTTCAGGTATGAGCAGCCCGGACAGAACCTGGACATTCGTGGGGTCATTCGGTGCGTCTCTTCTCCCGCATCCCTAGTTGAGGTATTGAAGATCGAGTGTCGGTTCCAGATATGGCCCTGCTGCAAATACCACCGCGTTGCCCATCGAGAGCAGCGACCCAGGCGTCCCATCACAGCCCACGCTGCGGGACGCGGACGACTCGTCGCTCGTTCCAGCGGTATTCGGGGTTGCTCCGGAGCGTACACGGCGATATTCGCTTCGGGTCTCGATGCAGATGCACTCCTCGCTTGTCTCTCTCGGATTCATGAACACGACCGTGCGTCTTGTATCGCTACTTCGTGTTCACGCGATGGTCCTAATCACGTACATCCCAGAGCTGGGAGCCACTGCAGGGCACGACGACGCTCCTGAGGGCGCGCGAGGCATTCCAAGAAGGCAGGGTGTACGGAGGCAGCGATGGCGGGAGTCTTCAGAGTGGCGAGCAGTTCCTGCTTACGGAGGACTCAGTGCAAGTTGTAGACCTGCTGATTGTTCGTGGTCGCTTCGCTGTCGCAGCTATTCTTATCACTGATGTGGCGCCGCCTGTAGGATAATCTCGACGACGGCGACCACCCGTTCCATCTGCATGGACACCGACCATGGAAGTGCGTTACCTGTTTCCCTTTTGGATGAGAAGAACTGCTGATCACTGTCATGCGTGCAGCGTGGGCTCCGGACCCGGGCGATATATTGGTCAGGCGCTAAACGCGACGAATCCGCTTCGGTGAGCACATCAGCACTGTCTTTGTACTGAGCAACGCGATTGACGCAAGTGTCTGATGCAGGCGCGACACCATTCTTCTCCCAGCGTACCACTGGGTGGCCCTCCGCTTCGTAACGGACAACCCGGGGTTATGGGCGTTCCACTGTCGTACGTCCTTCCCTCATGCTGTACCGTCCTGCATCCTCCGTGCTGACCGTGGGATGCTGTCAGATTTGGCGTGGCACATGGGTGCAGGGATGCTCATGCAGGTGAATAGCCTGCCGACGCGCGCAGCGCAGCTTGACATCCCACAGGCAATTGTTGACCAGTGTGCAGTGAACGTGGGCGGGGCGGGAGCGCGGAGGTAGGGCTTTTGGGCGGGTGTGCGCCGCAGGTAGGCTGAGCTGTGTAACATTGGTCATGTTATATTATTGTACTATCTGATTGGCTTCTCCCGAGTATGCATGAGGGTTAGTCGAGGTGGAGAAGTCGGTTGTAGAGTGATGCGGAGTGCGCGTGCGCTTGACCACTCTACGCGAGAACAGCTCGTCCCACGATTGATCCGTTGATGCGCCTTCCGTCCGACGTGCAACGGAGATGCGGCATTCACCGACATGCTCTCCGGATTTTGCGACTGCATCGGTGCTGACAGGAATAACTCGGAAGTCGGACGATGGATAATCAGCACGCATGACGTCACAAATTTTGCTGGTATTTTCGGCTCCGGATATCGGGCAACGGGCACCGAAGCGGCGCATCACTTCTACGTTAGGTATTTCCGCATTGCCCTTCCGGAGGGGAGCCAATCGAGACGAAGAGATGCAGCCCCCCCGCGACGGGGTGACTGCAGGCGCGACTGGATGAGCTATTAATACCAGGCATGATGTCACAATCTCCCGCTTGACCCCGATGCGGGAGTTAACTGCCCGTTGTGAGACCTAGTTTAGTCGGTGGTGTGACACTCGCTGCTCGAAGGCCTCGGCGCGCTACGTGCCGGGCATAGATCGGTCAAATTTCGACCTTCTCTGGCGCACTATCAGGCGGGAATAGGAGGGTGCAGGCGGGTGGGCACTAGCGGGAGCTGCCGGGGTCCCACGGCCCCACTTGATACTTCAGACGCAACTTGTCGCTTCCAGTGTCCTCTTAGCCCCCTCGCTCCTCCTCCCACAGTCCCGCCCTCCTTGTCCGCCATGTCTAATGAAAAGAACGTCAACCGGGGCCTGCGTCGTGGGCTGCTCTACGGGTTCATCGCCTTCATCGTTCTCTGCTGCCTTCTCGCTCTCGGCCTCGGACTGGGTATCGGACTCAAGAACCACACCCACCCCACGTTGGGGGAGAGCTTCATCGCAGGTGCGCCCCTTTCCTCTGCTCGTTACCGCCGTCGCTAACTTTTGACTTGCTGCAACCACAGAACCGTCAGCCACCGCAATAGGTACCCCAATTCGGCGTTCGGCGAAATGGTTGCTCCAATCGTGACGGACATCCTGAGGACGCGGCCCCTCACCTGCTGTATGTCCTCTATACTCATTATGTCCTGATGTGGTATGCTGATGGGTATATATCGCCAGACTTCGCGTGGCACCGTGGGCGCGGGCGCGGGCGTGCCCATGCGGATCAAACAGTCCATCGACAAGCGGCACGACTTGACATCCTGTATACGACTATCTCATCAGTGCTCAATGAGCGCTCGTAGAGCGGAGGCGTGGAGGTAGGGGGTTTCGGGCGAGCGCAGCAGGTTGGGGTCTATTATTTAGAGAGCCAGCCGCCACGATGATAATGCGGACTCTTCATCTGGTTGTATCGTATGTTTTATCATCGACTACGTGTTGACTATGAAAGTCAACGTATAATGAACTCAATACCTTACTGACTTTGTGGGCGTTGTAAGATACGATTCCTCAGTGCGACATAGTGTTCCGCGACCAGCTTTCTAAAGTATACCGAGCGACATAGCAGCAAAGCCGAAAAGCATGCGAGTCTACACGCAGGTCTCGTCTGGATGCGATCGGCGTTCCGTGTACTTCGGCCGGAATGAAGACTTCTTCAGTCTGCGTCGATAATGCGCGGCAAAGCGTGGTGTAGCGTCCTTTGGTGAGTTGAGATCCTATCTGGCGACGATACTGCTCATTCACTGTGCATTAGGAGGTTCCTCAGTGATACGAGGTCCCGTAGCAAAATGTTGTACGTGAGTACGGACGCCGCATGTGAACTGTCCGGAGTAGGACAATCGGTCCGAGCTTCCCATCGGCTTTAGTCGGTTTTGTTCCCAGCATATCTCAAGCGTTCATCACTTAACAATTCATCGATTTTCATCTCCCGTGCCGCCCTGTGTTGGGCTCGCATTGTCAGCTCTTCCTTGGCCTTTACAGATTGCCTGCTCGCGCGCATGACGCTTATGTCGGATCTTCGTGCTTCGAGCATGGTATCTGTGCTAGGTGCGATGCAGCTCGTCTGAATTTCACGGCAAAGTGATACCAACCATCACCAGCATATGAGCACTTGAGTTTTGGCTTATGTTGCTCCGAGATATTTTTCCCGACGGGTCCCAGCTCGTGCGGATACGGCCGGCGGAGATGTAATAGTGAAGCGTTTGCCGAGATGCCACCTTAACTCCGATAACTTTGTGGCGACCCATAATGAAGGCACTCGGCCCAAATGACACTCTAACTAAGCCGGGATACGCGTAGGAGCCGACTACCTGCCCTTCTGTTATCTATACTGAACTGGATTGCTGCCCTTAGTGTATATGTGGTCTTACAGGCTATGTTATTAAGATGAGCCTATGGAGCCTGTATAATTGCCGCACCTCTCTGCAGCAAGCCGCTACACAACGATCCTCGCGCATAGCTCTTGGAGACATTCGAAGAACAACCAACAATGCGCCAACGAGTATTATCAGGATATGTACTTTTCTACGCGCATCTGAACATGGTGACAGTTCCGCAAGATCGCGGCACTTAGCCCTAGATGCCTCTGAGCGTGCTTCCAAAACTATCCCGGAGTTCGCATGGCTACTATGAAAGTGTCGCGGGATATCTTTCGGGAATTGTGATAGTTTTGTGACGCTAAGTACTACGCGTCCCCGCCACGCAACGAAAAGGTTGTCAAGCACTCATTCCCGTCCGGTACGCCAGGCTTCCTTTACTATCGCGCTCCACCATCGCGGGAAGGACAGGCTGGTAGGGGAAATTCGCTTCTACATCACCGTTCCCGCGATGGTAGAGATCTGTTGGTCGAGAGCGTCCCTCGGAAAATCCTTCTAGTCGTTGGTACATCTTTCCATGTCGTTCCACGGCATACTCTTGCGCGACGGCCTGTGCAGCTGCTCGCGACACACCGCTTGCCCCAGAGAGAGCACAGTACTTCGTTGATCGCAGAGGAGATATGGACACATGCAGCGTGGTTGTATCACTACCAAGGTGGGGTTGCACCGGGCGTATGTCCCCAGCGACCGTGCTGCACCGCGGCTTTGACGGTGCGTTACGGGCAGGTATTGTATCAACATGTGGCTGGCTCGTATGACATTATCTCTGCAGCATTGGCGACTGTGCTCTTCGAGCCTTGATCGTCGTACTGGGACGATGGTAGCCATTCCGCTGTGGTTCGCCTTCGCAAGCTCCTCGCACAGAGAGGCGGACATGTAGAGTCAGCGGCTGTGAACGACCCGTGTAGAAACGGTCAACATGAAGTAGACTCGTATGCGCGCATCTTACAGCTTAATTTACTTTGCATCTTCAGAATCCACGCTTGATTGTACAGAGCAGTGTGGCATCTGCCCGACTGTGATACATGTTGTGCGACGGCACGAATGACATCGCTTGGTAGCAGCGAATAAGCCGTAAAGTCAAAATTTGGGCAACAACGGTCCGGCAAAGAGAACTCGAGTCCATGCACTGGGGCCGGAAACCACAAATTGAAGCTTGACCCCCAGTGAGAACCTCGTCCGTCTGGCGCTATCTAAGTCGACCTGAGTCGACCTGTAGTTAGTCGGTAGCGTGAGATCGACCTGGATGGTGGAGTGTTGTAGTAAGGGACCTAAGGTCTATCCAATCCATCACATCAGCAAAAAAATCGGTTATAGATCAGGGATGAGTTGCCAGGCAAGCGCCTAACAGGATGGCGAACGCTGGCAATGCAAGGACACGCGATACCTGACTGGTATTGCATTGCAAATCGTAACTCAGACCGGTATGTTATTATAAGTTGAATCCTATCCTGATACCACTAAACATGACATGAGTTGCTCGCCCAGATCTCGGTTATGACATGACGTCATCCGTCTCGCTTTCCGAGACGTGTTTCTCGCCGCCCATCGCATCCACGCCGTCTGCCCACCAAGATTCCTTCGACCTCCCCTAAAGTCACTCCCGGCGAGTTTCCTTTTATGAAACTGCATGTATGGCAGGCGCGGTGGCCACCAGGGTGACCTGC